TCTATTCGTTGCTCTATTCATTATTCTCTTGTTTTAATGTTCCATATGCTGTACATATTCGCCAATTCGAATACATACGTGCTGGTTGTTAGGCTTCGCTGAATTCTGGATTCCTAGTTCGTCTGGTTATACCGATATACGTACGAAACGTAATCCTCTCAATGACGTTCAGATTGCATATGCTATCATCCTGGTACCCTGACACCATTCCCTCATGTATTTATTTATCTGGACTTCATCGAGTAGATGTCAAAGTCCTCTGGTTCTGGGCTTTTGGCGGATTTCTGCCTGGCATGATGTTCCTGATGTCTTCGTACCTTACGTGACTTTGTTTGTTCAAAGCACGATCGGAGTTAATCTGAATACAAACTGTACCACGTTATATCATGCCTACCAGTCTAGAAGAAGTCAACATAATCCACGAACCCAACAACGATTACTTTTACAACAGACCTGTTTTTTTTCAGTGTAGAGAGTATAAAAACGAAAACGGTAGACTGTGAAAAATGTGCAATAACGAAGAAGGGACACCGGGAGAAAAAAGACTTTCCAGCTTCTCGTGGAAGGAGTTAACGTTAAATGGGGGAGCAGCTACGGTCTATTTGAAGAGATGTGTTTTGATGGAATTATCCCAGTTAATCAACTCATATGATTGTAAACATACTTTAATGACTATATCACAATATCAAGTGCCAAATTTCAGTATGGGTATCAAAAACAGTCATTTGCCAGTTTTAATAGCTGACTACTAGATGTCTTATCAAAGGTTCCAGATAGCCTGATGCGATCTGGTTTAGTTCTTCAGGCAAGCGTTTCTGTTTTTTTCCGGATCGAACGTTCACATTGATTTTGTTTGATAGAATCGGGGATGCCATACTTGCGAAATAAGTGGGGGGTTGCATTTGTCATGCTGTGGTGCAAACCAACTATACGCATCGCTCAAGGGTTTGCTCACTGCTAGCTGCCGGCCATTCTTTCAGTCGTTACATAAGATCACATTCTGTCGCGCTATTCCAGGTAAAACGGGCTGTCTCTTCTCCCTCCAGCACAGTTTTCTTCTATTCAAGCAAGTGGTAGCTGCGACCAAATACTCGCAAAGAAAGAATGGAGCAAATCAGGACTCTATTCATTTGAAAGCATATGGGACATGTCGGAATAGCGACCTCTGCTAAATCCTGTTTTCATAACAGACCCTGCAACCCCCATCGTGCTGATGCACGTATGGTGGAACCACATGCAGACAGCCTCAAGGGGCAGCCTCAGGCCCTGGCAAGTCAGGCCACAGCGGTACTCGTTTGACACAGTTACTGGACATTCAGGCTGTGCGACGTGGACTGTGGGGTGGTGATTGCAGGATGTAGTATTCCCCTGTTTGAAGGGGGATTTCGGTCCTCTGCCCTAAGATGGTTGAAACGAATGTCTTTACTGGGCGCTGCTTCACTGGTATCCGCACTTCCCAAATATAGCAGTGCGCATTTGGCACAATCCAGGTGTCCCGGTCGATTCCGTCACTCGGTAAAGTGCAGCTACACACGTGAATTACGGTGTTGTTCCGACACAGCTTCACAAGGAGAGACCACTGTCCCAACTGGAGTCAGTCTGATGTAGTCCTATGAGATATCGTCCGGAATCGACGTCCTTCGAATGACTAGTTCAGCTTCTGAAGAACTCCGCCAAGCATCTTGGATGTAAATTGCCTCCCAAAACGATCAGGATGCAGGAACTCGTGCACTGGATTCACAATGCACGTATGTGGCTAACCTCTGGCTTTGTTCCGTAAACAGTTCCTTTGTTTACCACATCTTTGAGGAGTCCGTGTGAAAGAATCAAATGGAGCGTGGGTTTTTTCGGCGGGTCCCAAAAATTAATGAACCCCCGCCTGAAAAATGACCACTTCTGAGGAGTATCCGCTCTGAAGTAAGACAGTCCACAACGTGGTGCACAAGTCATCAGATAGTATGTGACAAAGTGCAGCACTTCGAATGAAGAATGCACTGAAGTGCATACGACTACTCAGAGTTATATTCAGGGCGAGCGGAAACACTTAAAATGCATGGTTCTTAAATGATTACTCCCTGGGATTCCACAATGAACCACATTCTGGTTGGACGGTTTCCTATCCTTTTAGAAAGGCTCACTTCTAGTTGGTCACTAGAAGAATTTCATTCCTTGACCTCCTCCAAGAAAACTACTTTCTGTCGGTCTTTCCAAACGGGGAATTGCATTTCGGTACGTGGACGAAGAAGCAACTGACCCGTTGGTCTGCTTGAATGGTTTGGTTTCGTCGTGGCAGCAAGAGCCATAGAAAAAAGCAAATGAATGTTTGCTCATAGAATATGCAGCTGACAGCAACAGAATGACAGCTGAATCTCCTGAATCTAACCGGAAAATCATCCTTCTGAGGGCCTGCTTTTATTCAGGTCCCAAAGCTCACATTTCATTGCAGTGTCAGCACATAATACATTCAACTCATCTAAGCACATTGTTCAACAAGCTGAATACTATCGATCTCAGTTATTCGATATAGACGTTTGGTCTGTAACCAAATGAAGCCGACGATGTATCAAGTGATCACTCCAGCAACAGAAATCAAAACTACAAACATCTTGATTTTGAGGATCCACTTCATCGTTTTTTTGTTCTTCCAGTGAGGGCGAAGTTTTGTACTGGTCAATACGTTTTAATTAGTTACCACAGATTTCGTTGGGCTGGTGAAGATTGACCAACATAGGTCACATATTGGCCCCTTCTAAAGTTTAATATGCTGTATTTAACAGAAATGCTCGTGAAAATAGTCTAAAGCAGGCATTACACAGGAGGGAAAGGAAAGGGAAAAAACTAATGCAGCCGTTCGACTTCCCTAGCTTTTACCGTTTTCATATTGCCTATTATTCGTAGTCACTTGACAAACAATATGGTTTCTCACCAGTGATGCTATAAGAATTTATAAAACGTCAACTCTGGAATTTAAAATTACACCCGTTACCTCGCCTGAATTCATTTTACCGATAAGTTAGCTGTCACTACGGTCTTTTGAAAGAACAGCTGGCTGTTTTCGAGAAATACATCATTTGCAAATCGGTTTGGTTTTCACAAGAGAGTATATTTCTCGAAAACAGTCTAATTTGGGTTCAAGTAGAACATAAGGTTGACGGAATCTTCGGGGACTGCGCCTACCTGATGAGCCTCAAGAAGGGCGAAACCGGTCGTGGGCTGCCGAAGAGTTTTCAGCAACCTTGTGAGTAGTTTCCCTTATGAAAACAGCTGGCTGTGTTCGGTCCCAGAATGTAGATCCTTCTGGTTAAACAGCAAGGTCTTCGGACGACTTCTACTCAGTTGATACTTTTTTCCGCAATTTTCCACGGTGCGGACCGTTACCTCTATTTTACTGGATAGTAGTCCCAACCTGTATGACCAAGAGGAAACTGGGTTGATTCGTCCGTATTGGAGAAATGGTCGGAATGGCTTGCCACTTGCGAGTGTCGCGTGCAGCCACACTGTCGTTTCGGACAGGAGGTCTTTACCGAACGGGTCGATAGAATAAGAACGTTGCATAGAGATTGTTCTTACCTATGTCATACGTCCAAGCACTCACGCCCAACATTCGTCTCCTTTGTTTTGCTCCTGGCACTTCCAGCTAATCAACTCCTTGCTTGACAAACGCCCCCTGTACGACGGTTGCTTCGCGCCCTTTGTAGAGGTGAGGCTGCTCAGAAGTTGTCATGCATTAGGGATGTCAAATTTACTGGTACGTCAAAATGTAACCTCCTGATCCAGCCAAACGATATGCACTGACCTAATTGGCCCAGTAGGTCGTCAATTCCATGAGCCTACATTGGTGATTCGATATTTTCGTTGATTTCAAGACCCATCGAAATCATGGGTTAAGCTGGCATTGGACAATGCACATTAAAACAGTTATGGCTAATGAATTGTTTGGATTTTTTTGAAAAGTGGTCCTTTAGGTATGAATTACAGGTTGACTTCTGTCAATTAGGCCAAATTTCTCTCTGAAGTGAACTCTCTTTGCTGTTCCTCCCCGTGTCCCATTGAATAAAAAAACATAAATGGCAACCCTTGTCACCTATTTCGAGTTTCCTCCTCCTTCATATCACGATTTTAGAGGACGGACTGTGGTAGTTTTACAAAAAATTGATTGAACACAAACTTTATTCACCATACGTTTCCAGTTTTCTCCCATAGATGATGTTTTTTCCACTTACTTGATGTTGGTTTTCTAGGTAATACTGATGTTGAGTAAGTACGATTGTGCTCGGGTTGTAGGTGTCAAACCCGTCTGTAAGAATTTATCTTCTGGTGAAATGTATTTGCATACCAATTTGATTTTGACCGGAGACTCGCCTTTAACCCAGCTGAATTCCCGTTTATAATGTTTTCAAGCAACTGAATGTGCTGCACCGTGACGCCTCATGTTTCAGTTGGCACTACTCACAAGGTTGCTGAAAACTCTCAAAGCCCGCGACCGGTTCCGCCCTTCTTGGGGCTCATCAGGTAGGCACAGTCACTGAGTTTACGTGAACCGTATGTTCTACTTGAACCCAAATTGCACGAAGTTAGCGAAATACGCTCATTAGCATACCAATTTGGTTTTGCCGGGCGACTCTCCTGGAACCCAGCTGAATATCTCTTGTTTTTCTTCATAATTAACTTGAACGCCTACTACTGTTTCAGGTACTGACAATGACTATCCGGTCCGATCCATGGGTGAGGCGCTAACAGTGCAAGCTAGAGTAAGCATGCATCTAATTCTTCTAATTCTATTAGAGTACCCGCGTCACTCTGAAAATCGACGTACCTTACACCGATCACAGTCATGTCATCGGACGAGGAGGCCGTAACATCAAAAGTGTAATGCTTGCCACACAATGTCACATTCATTTCCCTGATTTGAACAAGACAAACTTGGTGGAGAAGAGCAACCAGGTATCAATTTCTGGCCACGTTTCAAGAGTGGATAACGCAAGACAACGGATTCGAGTGGGTTTCCTGTTCGGTGTTTTGCAACTATGAAATGACTCAGCGACTTTGTATTTGATCCATGCCTCATACTTTGTAGTTTGATGGTCGTTTGGAATTAAGGGTTTTTCATATGGATCTTTCGATGTGGACCATACAAGAAATAAACATAATTGTCTAGATCGTTCAAAGCAGTATTCATTGCAGTCGTGAGAGCTTATTTTGAAGACTTCCGACGTGTTTGTCATTCCCCGAAAGCTACAGAAAGCATACGAACCTTTGACCAAAACGCCCGTGGCTTCGTCGCTCCATTCTAAGTTTCGCTGACAGTCTTCACGCTTACTTCAGCTTTCATGATGTCACCAAAAGGGTGACAAACTTTTTAGAGTAACTTTATGATAATCCTTTGATTGTTACCTTCTTTTGTGAACGTGTGTTTAAGTCAAAAACGAACATATTACAAGGCCGGTGGGATCTTTTAGTCCTGAGTTAATCAACTTATGGTACACCGGATGTAAATCGTCGATTATCGATCAATTATCGATTGTCGGTCAGTTGACACAATTATGCTGAAAGTGACAAACTGGAGACCTTACCCTCATGGTATTCACCAGTTTTATTGACGTTGAAACTATTATTTTAACGTCAGACTCGATCCTTTTTTGCTCTAGTTATTGTTAAGCTGGGAACTTCAAACAAGCACTGCAGAGTTTACTTGCATATCTCTGTCAAAAAGAAAACGGACTTCACCGTGGTCTGACGGTCTATGTGCCTTCGTGAACTGTCTAGTTATATTGAGTTGTGTCCGTCGGACACTGGTATCGTTTCATATCAGTTTGATCAACGGTTATAGGTTGGCAGAGTATCAAACATCAAAATATCCAATACTGTCAAGTATTCAGTTTTTTACATGATATTTCGCAGTTAATAAATATAACATAATAACAGAAATAACACATTATATTATTCTCTCCACCCAATCCTGATCGGAAGATAACTCTCTCTCTCTCAATTGGAAACGAACATGAGATGTTATTGGGAACCTTCATTTGAAATATATTCGAGGGAGCTCATTAACTGGACTATGCACTGTACGAGACTTTCTGTGGTCCCAAAATCAATTTGTTTTGTGACAAAAGCTCCTTGGTTTCACCACCCCCGCTGATTGTTTTATTCCTGTCACCCGACATTCCTCTTCTCTACGTTGGTTACCGCAGGATATGCTTCCCGTTACATTTATCTTTGAGTTGCCGGTAAGTGCAACCATGCAGCCAAATGTATTCCGTAACTCTCCGTTTGTCCGGCAATTGGAAGAAGTGTATGAAGTGGACGTCTGCTATCGTAGCATTCACACATCGCCCAGAACTCGGACTGTGGTCAATGTGAAAGGTTTATCGGCCAATTCACGTATGATAAAGACGGCTGTCAGGTTGCTTTTGGAACGATATTATGGTCCAAATGAGGTAAGCTATCGAAGGTGAAATAACACTAATAAGAAACAGTTATGTATAGCGGTTACCAGAGACACTAGTACAACTGAATAATACACAAAAGAAAATAAGAGACTTATCGAGTTCTTCGTTTGATAAGTTGTAGTAGACGCAGCCGAGGTTTGTAGGACGCAGTGGAATTGAATGCGGGTCTTGACGGAGTGTGTTGGAATCTGGCCTGTATCTTGTCCTATGTTCCAAAACGATATCGAGCCCAGACTTTTCCTGCACAGTGAGTCGTGCGTAGGTTTGAAGTGACCCTGGTCAATGCGCTGTGTGAAGGGACGAGCGTCGGCATCCTGCTGTCGTTGTTCCGCATATATATAGGATTACGTTGTGAATGAGGGTGCGCTTGCGTTGTTTGTCTTAAGATAAGATTCCAATCTTCTTGACTAGTCGTGGGGCACATGTTCATGACATAATCAGAACAGGAATGAAACAGTTTGTGTACATGCGTTAAACAGGTCATGTGAGTGGATGAAGGTAAACATTGCTGAGATAGTAACCGAACTGTGAAAGCGGTTGAGGATAAACGTTGACTGGATGGTAACCAACAAAAAGGCTTATATTGAAGCTTTTCAAAGTAAGCAGTATTTGGGTATACCATTGTATGCCTACATAGAAAAAGGTGTGTAGAATCGGTAGAATGTGCACCACGGTCCGCCGAATGGTGCTCGGTAGAAGTTAGTTAGTTATTGCCTATTTAAACGTTATATATATATATATACTACATATGTACAGGCATATATATAAGACAGGTGTGAAGGGTTTCTGACATGACCACCTTCGTGGATGGGTTGGGTACTTTTAGAGTGCCTGTATTGACGATTGAAAACAACTCGATAGCGTGCAAGAAGGTCACCTGTTTGCTTATCTGTGGCATTGTAAATGACTGACCATCCAAAATAAGGTACTACGAATTTTTCAGTCCGGAATTTCGAGCTCACCCAGACAAGAATCAGTTTTGCTCAGAGATAGCAACTATACAATAGCAAATGTCCACACTGTGATGTATCATCCTACTGGAAAACAGTTGGTCGCATTCTCACTGCCTAAATCCATAAGAATAATGCCTATACGAACCTCTTGTACTGCTCAGGTTGTACCCATTACCATGATCATGGAATTGGACGCTACGCACCAGACGGGATTTTTCGCACAAAAGTCTCCTGAACAGGTTGCCAAACTTGTGGCACAAACCACTGGCGCCGTCGTATCATTTCGGAAGTCCAGCGCATTCGATGACAGTCGATGTATGCTGGACACCAGCAAGGCTGCAGCAAAGCTGGACTTTATGGACTCTCTGTATCCGTTTTCAAGGAACCTTAGCTGTGGTAATGCCGCAACTATTGAGATCACTGGACTGAACGTGGACAGTGTCTTTCTGGCCAGACAGCTGATAACGGTAACAACAAAGTTTTACTAGTATCTCTACATTATTGTTCCAGCTATTTAAAGGTACCTGATTTGGTTGGAGCAGGTACCGGAAATGACAGCAGATCACCAATTGTGCAAAACTTGGAGATTCTTGCTTACTGTCAAGCGAATTTCACTATAGCCACTCCATGTCCGTAAAACCGTGCAAGGCACTTGCAAGTGGCAGACCACTCGATACCGCTTAACCCGAAAGAACTCGCTTCCATTTAACAAGGTACACTGAATACTGACTGTTGTTTCTGCTCTGGATAATTCGCACCAGAGTCCGTCAGCAACGAACTAGCTTTCTGTCCACTACCGGAAGACCACAAGCCACGACAGACCAAATAACAGTTTGCCAAAGCGATTACTGTAGCGATGATTCGTCATCCTTCTTTAAAAGAACGGAAACCTCGTCCGTAGGGAAGATATGTTCCGATGGCACTTTGTAGCGTGAAATGAGCAGAACGCTCTGATCGATTAGTTCCAAGCAGTTTTCAGGACAAATCGAGACAGTGGGACTAAAAAAAAACTACTTTTTCAAATGCGCTCTTTGGTAGGTTACTTCGTAGCCGGTATGTTAGCCATAAGTTTCCGTATCTGTAAAATTCGGTTTCGATTTTGTTGAATTACACTAGATCACAATTGACTCGTCCCACACTTGCCAATTCTGGCCTCTGTCATTGCTATTTATGGAGTAAAGTCTGAGATACGGATGAACTTTAATCACAGTGGAAAGCCACACTCAAAGTAGGTAGTTACCTGACTGGCGGCCATCCCCTCCGCTCATGATCTGCCCCCTGTAATCAACCCGTCTCCGATGAAACCGTGTGGCTGGGCTTGTCATTCGCAAGTACTATGGCATTTCACATCTCTAGTACCCCGAAATTCGGTTGGTTTTCTTAAATTCGTACCTGAGAGAGTGAGAGAGGAACATATTACTTTAAAAATAAAGACGAAAAATATTCCCGTGAATTAACCTGGTGAATAAGTGATTGGGCAGTACATTCCATAAGCTCCTGCAAGTAGTTCGGTGCTCATCACTTCTGTATGTTCTCCAAAACAGGCACACAAAACATTCACCCTCCTCGAATGCCTTGCTTCATTGCAGAACCTACTTCCGGTTGTCCTTTTATTCGACGTGACACTGGAGGAAAGCGAATGGCTCAGAAAATTCGATTTTGCACGGCTTCAGCAACAATACGACGTTTTGATTGACATTCGAAATAAACCGAAGCAGCTGAACAGGGTAAGTGAGTTAGTTCGAATTAGCTGGATAAATTGCTAAAACAATTATGGTAGAAACATGGAGGTTAATCAACTCTCAAATGGTTCACTTCCATCCTTATTTCATTCTGGTTACTTAAATCGGCAACCACAAGGTGAGTAAACACAAAGAATGATCCAAGTAACGAAAACAGATATGAGAGCAAAATTTTGTCCCAATGAAAACTGTGAATAGTGGCTACAATGGTGAAGGGACTTTCGTCCTATTGTAGGCACTTGCCACAAAAAATGACGACTTCAGTATCCTAATTTAGTGGTTCCCAATCGGACAGCTCCTTCAACGTTCCTCATTCGCATCACCACTCGCAGCTCAGATGTTTTTGTATTCTACTATTAAGGGATCACTCATTGTGGTCACTATAAAATTAAAAGAAATGTAGTACTGGGTACTGTGTCTAAACAGCGTACCTCGGGTGAATTCATTGGCTGCTGATCAGGTGACAATTGATCTGTTCACCGAACGTGGTAACTGGTAAGCCAGTATACATACAGTGGTTGGAGTGAAAAGACAAGAACTTACAGAGATTGGAAGCAGAATGTGAGGAATATGCGTCGCTGTGTGCTATGATCCTTTCCAAAGTCAACTGCAATGCCCTTGAAGTGGAATCAAAAAAGGGACCAGTCGGAAATGACATGCACTACAAAGGTGACAAAACAGCAGTACAGATGTGTGACAGAAACCAATGGGGAAACCAAACCATCACGTTCAGAGAACACGTCACCTGCTGCAGTGACTTGCCCAATTGTCACAGATTTGACGGAAAACACTAGTTTTCAAATCACATTGATAATAAAGTACATGCACTGACCGACCAATCTTTTATTGAACCAATTCAAGGCTGCGTGCCAAAAGTTGCGTTTGAGCACAAACCAGTGATTCCTTCTAAGGCTGCACCATACCTCATTTTCTTGAACAGTGGGTTCCATTCGTCTAGCAATTCCCTTTCTCCAGTAAACTTGTCTCAGGGTTGCATTCGCTGAGCTCCAAACAGGCCCGGACACCTACGCGGGCTAAATACAAACGCTCAGAAGGTCCCAACGATTCCTTGTTCATCATCGCGTCACGATTTGCAGTAGAATGATCCGATCAATACCATAATGAACAACAACCTCAATATAGAAGGCAAGAGAATCGATGGTCTCTCTGTTTGGTAACGGAACGTTTACAAGTACGGCAAAATGATAAACGGTCACGTGATCAATAGACAATAAGTGGCCCAAGCTACAATTACAGGTTGCCAGTCGGTTGCACATTAATTCAGATACGAAAAATAAATCAGGGTATTCCATGTTTTCTGGACCGAGCCAACAAAATGCTTGCCAGTCAGCCAGCATTTCTGTCAAATTGAGTAAAAGTGCCGTGCGCTTATCCAGGTATATCCTCTTCCTTAACTGCTCACTACACCACACTAATGGAGCCGCTATCCCCACCGGTTGCTTACGCATGGGATCTGTATCAGTCGTGACAACATGAATCAAATCAGCAAAGCCTGGAGAAGGGGACGGCCGCAACACACTGAGGTGGGCGTGTGACAGCTTCATCTGCATGGGTTCCGTGATGATGTGCTTTTGCTGTGCGGGCCTATGTTATTGACCATTATCTGTGTCAGAACCTGCCCCCAGGCCACACCGGCCTACAGCCTTTGATCTTGCAACCACCGCCCCCACTTCACACGGCCAGTCACACTGGTGCCTGCCATTGCGATTCTGACGTTTTTTTACCCAAACGTTGTGACTGGCCTTTTATTACGTGCACACCTTCGCAGTCAGTGCGTGTGTACGCAACGGTCGATCACCGACCCTTCCACCAGACCCAACGTCCTCCCTCGCAAGGCTTCGTACTCGTACGTTCGTTCCATTAGAATGTCGGTTCGGGGCAGCCCGATACTCTTAACGGTCGCCCAACTCAGAGTGGCGTAAACAGAGAGGTGGCCAACCCTTGACTCGGCAGAGGAGTATGAAGGAGATCATGAAACGCTTGGGTGCTGTCGGTGCTACTCGCCTTCCAGGATGGGGACCGCGTGATCTTCACTGTGCCTGGTTGGAAACAC